GACTTTTAATTGGTGTTCAATGTATTACATTCATGACATCTAAAGCAAAATAATTCTATTCCAAACCCTTCATTTTACAGATGGGTAAATATGAGGCCTAGACCTATACACTAGCTGATTTGCCTAATTAAAAGAAATTAGACAGATGGTTCTAGAAAGCACATTCCATAGGCTGTTGAAAACCATCCTATGTCTTTATTAAAAATAAAGGCAGGTTTTTTTAATCAAAACATTACAACAAATTACTCTTAGGCCTCAGAATGAACTGTACTTAAGAGAGTATAACCATAAATGAAAACTGAAAGATCGTAATGTTCTGGTTTGAAGCCTTCTAATTTATAGCCACAGCCAGAGCCTCATCATACAACACCTTATTTTATAATGTTTTATTAAAATAAGGAATATTTTTCTATTGCTAATAAATAATGTTTTCAGTGAAAATTGAAGATCAAGTTTAAATAAATCTGTTGCTCTTATTAAGAATACAAACATAAGTATTCAAAAAATTGAAGTCTGTGGGATAAATGTCTCTAGGGATGAACTACCTAAATAAGTGAGATCATAATACAGACTTGGCAAACAAGTGAAACAAACAAGTAAATTAATTATCACTCTATGTCAAAAGTTTAAAACATATAGGGAACAGGTAAAATCCCCATAGTTGTAGTATTACTTAACTTTCAACATAACTTGTTTATCAGACAAAATGAAAGCATGGTAAAATAAACTCAGTGTCAACTATTTAACTGTTAAGCTGAATGTTAGAAGAAAACTCACTATAAAATTTCCAACAAAATGTCATAAGATATACAATTGATCTAAACGGAACCAAGATAGCACACACCAGAGCCTACTACAAGGCATATCCTCACAGAGCAATAAAGGATAAGTAGACACAAGTCCACTCTCTTTCCCAACTTTCATTTCCAAACAGTTCAACTACAGAGAAATATGAGACATGGAAAAATGAAAAGACGCTATATCTTATCTGCTAAGGGAGGTAGAAATTCTCTTAACCTAATTATTATAGCTACCTAAGTCTAATTTTCCTCAAAAAAAAAAAAAATTCCAGATGTTTTCTAACAAAGAGAGAAAGTCACTAGTCTAAAATAATTGTAAAAATATGAAGGCTTCAGGGTATCTTCAACACTCACTTCTTCTGGGGTGATCACACCTGTTTCCTTAAATTTTGATTCCTAAAGAGAGCAAAAAGAGTAAAGTATTAGACCATCTTCACATTCAACTAAAATAATGTCTTGAGGACAAATATTTACCCCTCCTAGACAATGAAGAGTATACTATGAAACACACAAACTACTAAAACCTAAGTATACCGTGTATAACACCATTGGTCCTCTATGACAAAGATACTCGGGTATAATGTAGATGAGTTACAATAAACCACTTCCAGTAAAAATATGATCATCAGTACTACAATAAAACACTGTAAAATGTTGTGTTAAAAAGCATGCTAATATTTAGATTACAGCGACCCGGCATGGTGAACAAGTCATTATGCAGCACTTTAACACAGTCGATGGTTTATTTAAACCGAGTAATATTAGAAACCAACAGTAGAAATCATTTTGTACTTAATATTTCCCATTATTCTCTTCGCCACCATAACTTTTTTTCTGGAATATTTTTCTTCTGGACTGGGTTTTGTTATGGCAGCCAAGCTGGTGTGTAGCCCAAAATCTTCTGGCCTCGCCTCCAGAACGCTGGAATTCTAGGCCACGTGTTACCACCACCATGCCCATAAGACTTCCTGAAAGTTTACAAAATGAAAACTTTGTGGTAGTCTACAAAATAAAAATATTATTATTCAACAAATATTTACCACTATATGCCAGTACTATTTAAGACAAAGTGCTTTATGCCTGAAAAATAAGTCAAACTCATCTTCATACCATAAAGAAAAAAATTTAAGTGAGGGAGAGGTGATAGTAGAGTGAAATAATTTCTCAGCCAGGCTTCACCTTTGTGAGCACCTCCAGAACCCAGAGGAATTTTGACTGGCTTGGTCCTGCACAGGTAATCAAGGCCACTCTGACTTTGAGTGCCTCAGCCTTGTTAACTCCAAAAGACCTTCTCTAAGCACTGACTGGCAGTCGATGGCTGCTGGGGGAAGATAAGTCCTGTTTTCTTCAGGGTGTGACCCCTGGTAGGCTATGGATGCTCCAATGGATGGCCCTATACTCACAGACACAGGCACCAGTAACTGGGCTCAGAGGATTAAAAAGAACTTAAAGTTGGCAGAGGCATATGCTGGAGGTGATCTGGGAGGAAATGGAGGAGAGAGTGGAAATGGATATAAACAAAATACACTGTACATGTGTAGACAAAGGACCAAACCACAGGGCTGTATGGGAAAAAGCAACACTGGCCAAGAGAGAAAAAACAAAATTCGAGAAGCAAGAGTCTGCTCCACAGCTTCCTAATGAACGTGGCTACTGTAAGGTCAGTTTCCGCCAAAGTATTCACAAGCTAAGGAGACTCAGGCTTCTACTGACTGAAGAGACCCTTCAGGATCATAAATGTCACATAAACAAAGCATGCCTTCTCTAAACCTTCACTTCCTAAGAAAACACCATGTTTCTTTCCGGATATTTCCTTTTTTTTCTTTCCCTTTCCTCGTCTAGAACAAATCTATAAGAATTCTCTCTGCAAACCAGAATGACAAGGTGAGGGCCATTAATGCTGTTAATTCTTCTTTCTTTTATACTAAAAACATATGCCACACATTGCCTCCAGGCACGGTGGCAAACACCTCTTCTAACCTCAGTACCTGGGAGGCAGAGGAGGTAGATCTATAAGATTTCAAGGTTAGCCTGGGCTTCATAGTGAGTTCCAGACCTCCAGACCAACTAAGTCTACACAGTGAGTCCCTGCCTCAAAAAAAGTGTACATGTATATGTATTATATATATATATACGTACATATATATAATACATATATATATAATATTCCTTTCAAATTGGTGATCAGAACAAATGATTCCTCTACAAGTTCTACACGTTCAACAAAATGATAGTCTACAAGATAGCCATTTTAGATTTAATTCATGTATTTTGCTCATCTCTCCCTGAGACGAAAAGCTGAATGGATGATACACTATTAAAGCACTGTAAATCTAAACAGATACAATATTCTGGAAATATATAACATGCAATAGAAGCATTTGACTCCAATGACAAAATTATTTCCAATTCTTAAATAGAAGGGTAATCTTAATTAAAATGACTTTCACAGTAAGCACACAAACAAGAGCTAAGCTTCTCATTTATGACTGTTCCAGAATCTTCTAACTTGATTGAAAAAAAAAAAAATTCTTTTTCAAAGGTGTCTTAGAAATAAGTATTGAAAAGGGAAGATAATGACCAAGCGTTCCTCTTTGTCAAGGAAAGAGCCAAAAGACTACTCAGCCCATTAGCGGATTTCATGCCTGCACTAAGACTGGTAAAAATTCTACTTGAAAGCTAAATACAGACCAACAGCACTCAAATATCTGCCACTCATTTACTATTACTGTTCGCTTTTCGCAAAGCAAAATTAAGTTACCACAAAAGGATGTATCCTAGAAGGTGTAAGAAAAACTCTGAATGCAGCTTTGGAAATTTACGTTGGAAAATAAGTAAACCAGTCTGTACTAACAGCTAACGTTTTGCAACTTTCACCCGACAATGTTATAGGGGTTCCAATCTATACACTATACTATCAGGTGTGCTGAATTGCTGTTATAGGATCGCTCAAGTTCAACATTAATAATCGGTTACGGCTACTTTAAAAACTTGTGAAACTAGAAGTTTCGCTCTAAGTTACTAACTTGTTACAGTTTACTACGATCCTCTGAAACCTGAAGAAGCTGGGAATTAGGTCGCCCGATCATCAACTCACTATGAAACTCGAGAGGAAAAGTGGCATGCTGTTATCCACCGAGCTGTCATCTTTTCAAAGGTTAACCCGGATACCTGCTCAAAAGACTAGGGGTGTCGGGGTTCAGCGTTCCTATCTCTGCTGCCGCACCACCTCGCCGCCCCACACTCCAAGGCACAGAGGACAGGAGACGCCTCCGAGCTTCTGTCAAGTTGAAGCCGGGGGATCCGGCAAGCCTTGGGACCGGTCCAGGAGCCCAGGGCACGGGGCTGCAGCCGGCCGCGCGTCCCGCCCCTCCACCTTCTACACCCGTCCACGCTGGGGGGCCCGCACTTGGACGGTCGCTGCAGAGCAAGCCAGCCCCGCCCCGCTTACCTTGAGGACCGGGGTCAGGTACTCGGCCACTTCCAGAGCCTTTCCCTTCACCGTGTTGATCACATTCTGCATCCTGAGACTGGAACAGCGATGGGACACGGAGGGACAGTTCGCAACCCGGACCCGGGAGTCAGAAACTGCCCCGGACGTGGCCGACTGGCATCGAGCCCCGCAGGCGGCACCGGCCGGGCCGAGGGGGAGGGGCGGCGGCACGCGGCGGCCCGGCTCGGCTGTCACCTGGCCGCCACGGCAGAGGCCCAGCCGGCGGAGGGAGAGGCGGCTGCGCGCGCAGCGCCCCCGGCCTCTCCCGGGGCTGGCTTTCGCCCTCAAGCCCCACTTGCACCCCTTCCGGTTTCCCCTTCCTCTTCTCACTCCCTTCCAACAGCCCCGCCGCCACCTGGGCCTCACGTGACTCGACCCTCTCCCGGACACGTGACCACAGTAGGCCCGCGGGGGGCGGGACCGGCCGCTCCTCGCTCCGGACCGCCCCCCGGAAGCGCCGAAACGAGCGCGCCTGCGCAATGGGCGCGCGGGCGGCGGCTTCCCTCCCGGGGGTCCTCAGCTTTGTGGTCCAGCCGCGGAGGCCGGCTGCAGAAGGGATTTTTCCCCCTCTGTTTCCGGCTCATAGTTTCCCCACCAATGGGCCTTGAAAACCCACTGCTGCTACTACGGAGCTAGGCAGTCACTATCTCAGCTCTATGATGTCCGTTCTTCCACTAGAACCTTCCCTGAGCGACTGAGGTAACCGCGCCCCGCCGGCAGATTGATGCTCCAGAGCGTGAGGGTCGAGGGCGCCGCCGGCTGCTCCCATTGCGCATGTGTGGGAGGGTTTCCCTGACAGCGAGAGAAACCTGGCCGTGGTGGAGGGGTGCCGACCCCTTGGCCTTCCGTCCGCTTGCGCCAGCCGGTCTCTAGTTTGGACTTCTGTCTGCGGTCCTCAGCGACTCTCTGTGCCCATCTTACCTGTACGCTTTGGGCAAGTATTTACCCTGCCTGGAGTACCGTGGCCACCTGTCATAAAAGACTGACCAGTTAGGCTCACTGACTTAAGATGAGCCTTCTGTTCCTATCCTAGTTCAGTTGGTCCTTAGCCGTGTCTCAGCGACTGGCACCGTGGTCGTTACTGTAAAAGAATCATTCCCGGCAAGCTCTTCCTACTGAGAAGGAAGAGCTGCTACTGAGAGTAAACCAAGAAAGAAAAAAAAAAAAAAAAGCGATTACAAAATTCTGGAGCAAAGTAATTACAAATAACTGCTTTTCAGCAGTCCCAAACTGTCAGTTACTCACTCCCTATCTTATTTCCAAACCGGCCAGCCCCGTTCTATCTCGAGAATCTCCTATCAGATTTTGGCAGTGTGGATCATTTCCTTAAAGTTTTCTCTGTTCTCTGCTGTCTTAGTTTTGATCTAGTCATGGCCAAACACCTACAGGCTTCCTGTTGTGTTCTGCACAGTCTACAGTATTTGCATTGTGCTTAATCCTTAGGTCTACCAACAGGGTTGCTCATGAAACTGTTCTTTTTAAGACAATTAAAACCCAGTGGAATGGAAGGAAAATGCGTCAGGCGTCCTGCGTTAGGCCCATCAGCGCTGTACACATTCCTGCTAGGTGTTACATTCATTACTTTAAGTTCAAGTCGCATCTTACTGGTAAAGTATTCTGCCAATGAAGGTGAGTTAAAATGTGGATGCTCATGGATTAGTTTTAATCACTTGTCTGCGGGGTCCTTGCGAATAAATTATAGGTGATACCTTTTAAAGTACTATGTTTTGGGTGGATGATAAAGTGTATTTAACTTTTATGTTTTAACCTTGTATTCCTTGGCAAGATTTTTTTTTTTTTTTTTTTTTACCATGGATGAAATTTCGATCATTCAAGTGCAAAATAAAAACACAGTATATCATGACATATGATTATTACTTCATCCAACATGTATTTCTGGATCTCTGGCAAAACGTACAATTGTAGCTTATTTGGAAATACAATATGTTTATTTGGTTTCTTGACATTTGTGAGTCAATATAGTTATTTTATCAAGGGTACAGTAAAAATTAAAAGTTTAGTGCATGCATACTTAAGACTCAAATCTTGTAGTTTTTTTTTTTATTGTAAGGATTTATACAAATACTTAATTCCACAAAACTGCACAGGTTACGTCTTAACTGTTGACAGCTATAAAATCATGACATCATGACTTTTAGTGGTCTACTTGGGTCTCCTATGTGTGAATGTAAGTTTTAAATTCAGTTAATATTTACCTTTCAGGCCATAGGCTAAGTTTTTATAGTCTATTATTTTCTTTCCTTGTTGCCCTAACAAAAATACTTGGCCAAAACAGGTTAAGGCAGGGAAAGTTTACTTTGGCTCACTGAGAGTTCATCTTGGCAGGGAGGCCGTGGCAGCAGACGCTTGTAGTACACTCAGATGGTATCCACAAGCATCAAGCAAGAAGAGGTGGCTCAGCACTAAAGAACACTGGCTCCTCTTTTCAGAATATATAAGTTCAGTTCCCAACATCCACATGGTGATTCAAAACTGACTGTAACTGCAGTCCAGAGAGCTGAAATGTACTCCCCAAACCCAAATCTTCTAACTACATTTCTTCCACTATATTTTCTCTACCTAGCTATAATCCTTCAAATAATTTATTCTAGACTCTAGAACATTAGTCCCAGTAATTTAGCATGGCATATGAAGCCCTCTACTGGCCTCCATGATGCACATACATGCAAGCAAAACACCCATTCACATAATACAAAGGAAAAATATTTTAAAATGTTTTTTTAAAAGAGACACTGAACTCACTTTCACCTTCTTAGTCTAAGACACCCACCCTCCACCCCCCAGCTCATGAAATGCTAATTCCCATAGTTAAGGTGGGTCATCCCCCCTCAACTATTCTAATTAACATAATCCCTTACAGGCATGCCTAGAAGCTAACCCAATCTAGATAATTTCTCATGGGTGTGACCAGAGGCCCAGTCTCCTAAACGATTCTAGATCCTTGGTAATATTAGCCATCATAATAGTAGAGTTCAAAGTGCATAAGATACATACCATGTCCTTAAGAACTGGGTTTATTAGAAGAGATAAACATGTAAAAACATTATAGACGTTTGTTGTAAGACATGTAATAAAAGGACTGTGTCCAAGATGCAGAGATAGTCTATGAAAAAGTAATGAGTGTATCGTGGATAAGATGGTCAGTAGTGCATAGGAAGCAAGGGACACTTTTCTGACTAGATGATAGTTGATTCACCAGAAGACCAGGGATGTAGGGTATTGGATCAAACACAACTTATAAAAAGGAACAGAGGCAAAAGAACAAAGGGAGTTGGGGGAGAACATGTAGTTAAGAATTATTAGGCAAAGACAGGCATGGCTTCGCACGCCTGTTATCCCAGCACTTGGGAAGCAGACACAGATGGATCTCTGAATTCAAAGTAGTCTGGTCTACAAAGCAAGTCCAGGACAGGCAAGGTTACACAGAGAAACCTTATCTCAGGAAAAAAAGAAAAATTATTGGGCGATGGTGGCACACACCTTTAATTCTAGAACTTGGGAGGCAGAGGCAAGGAGATCCTCTGTGAGTTCTTCAATGCTATCCTGATCTGTAGAGTGAGTTCCAGAACAGCCAAGGCTACACACAGAGAAACTCTAGTTTCAAACAAACAAAAAATAATTATGGAGCAAAGCATTTAAAATGTTGAATCAAAAAAGGGAGTTTGAATAGAGAGAGAAGTAACACATTGTTAAGGACTCCATATGCCGTGCTATGTTTGACACCTGAGGGTCTAGGCAATTAAATACTTGAAGGATTATAGTGGAGTGCCAGTAGACTGAAAGAAGGCTAGTTAGTTAGAAAATTATTGAAAGTCAAGCCACAGGCGCTGAAGACTAATTAACCCTGCTGTTAGAATATAGAGGATAGTGTCAGGGAATATTCAAAACACAGAAAAAATATGTAATTGGACAGTGTGCTAAATGTGAGAATTAAAGGAGATACAATACTGGATGTTCAAATTTTTCTGGTTCAAGTTGCAAGTAGGTTGATAGTGTTTTTAGCTGAAATATAGGGACTGTTATTAGGAAAAGTAATTTGGATCAAATTTGAGAAAAAAAATTAGTCTTGTTATTTACCTTCCATGAGTCCAAGAAATATGTCCTATTTACTGCAATGTCTTATAGTGACTGACATGAATGTACATAGAGAAAATGCCGAATAACGGAGTAAAAGGAGGTAGTTACTCACAGATGTATTTAGTGATCTCTAACCTAAATGTTGCAAGATGTAGATCTCAATTATTGTCGAATTAATATTTAAGACTCTAGAAGCAGCAGCTAGTACAGATGAGAAAACAAGAAAAGTGGGAATTACATTTAAGCAGAATGCCAACATTTTGAACAACAGTATGCCAGGGTCACAACATTTGATGGTTTTAATCCCAGGATTTAGGAGGTGAAGGCAGGAGGATCACAGGAGGCAAGAGAAGTCCAAGAGTGTTCTACATACAAAGCTTTCTAGTGGTCTGGGAGAGACAGGATTAGGAACAGGAAGATAATTGAGGACCCTCCCCCCATCACATTTTAGTTCTTTTGTTGCTATGAATATAAAAGAACTAGCAAAAGTAACTTAAGGAAGGGACAGTTTATTTCAGTTTACAGTGTGGGCAGATAAAGTGCATCTTGGCAGGGAAAGCATGAAGGTAGGAGTGAGGCAGCTGGCCATTCTGAATCCACAAGAAGCAGGAAGATCCTATCAGACAGTCCAGTCTTTTCTTTTCCCTTCTTAGTCTGGACCCAAGGTTTTAGGGTAGTTTACACATTCAGGGTGGTTTTTCCCTCATGTAAACCTCTCTGGAAACATTCCCGCAAATGCCTAGAGGCATTTCTCAGGGGATTTTTTACATCTAATAAAAATGACAATGAATATTAACCATAAGAGATAAAACAAAATTGCTATACCTTGTAAAGATATGGCTTAAAACAATTCTAATAGCATTTGTAACTAGAAGATATTTGGCTATCAGAAAATGAGTAATTTGATTCAGATGGTATTGGCACACACCTTTAATCCCAGCGCTTGGGAGGCAGAAGAGAAGGAGCTCTGAGTTTGACCCAGCCTGGTCTGCAGAGCTAGTTTCTGGCACAGCCAAGGATACACAAAAAAACCCTATCTCGGAAATACAAAAACAAAAAATGGAAAGAAAAATGAGTAATTTGAGTACAGTGGTAGAGTAAGAAACTCAATGTATTTTAACTGATTAGGTGTTATGGGGAAGAGAATGTATGATAAGTCCTGGTGTCTTACATTTTATTTATCAAATTTAAAGCTTTCTGGATGCTAAAAGTAGGAAGTCAGATTAATAGGGGAATAAAGGAGCTATGCGGAGTCAAAGTAAATATTCATTGAAACTAATCCCTGAGAGCGACAGATTTTGACAGGAGAGTAGGCAGATAGTGGGGCCATGGTCCCTTTCTCTGGTACTGGAGGAAAACTGCTAAGTATGTGTACGAGACAAGTGGATTGAGGCTGTTTGGGAGTATCTGTTAGAGGAATGCCAGAAAGAACTAATAAGAGCAAAAGTGGTTTAAAGAACATTGACTAAGTATGGTTTGACTTGTAATCTGAACCTTCTCATTCTCCCTTCCTTCTGTCACATTTTAGTTTGTTTATTTGTAAATCATAAAGATTTTCTGAGGATAACAGTGTGATTTAAGTCTACCTTTGAACTGAGTCAAGGGAGGAGGTATTTGAACCAGACTTTGAATAGTATGTATAATTGAACAAGCAAATAGTTAAATTCAGGTGGACATTTATTAAAGGACAGGTATAGAAATATGACTAAAGCCTGGTCTTTTTGTCATAAGCATTTACTTTCTAAGAATATGGTATCAGCATAATAAACAATTATAATACAGTTTGTCAAGTGCTATTGCAGAGGTAGATAGATTGTGCCTAGAAACAGACAAGTAATCAATTTGGCATATATTGTTCAAGGGAATCTGCAGACAAGAGGGAAAAAGAATCCTGGAGAGAGAAGGCTAGGTTGGCAAGTCCTTCCCCCCCCCCCGCCATGTTTGCCAAGTTTTAATATGACTAATAGAATCAACCAAATGTTCGTAAAGAGAGGGAAATGTGTTTTTAAGATGGTACTTAATAAAGATTCTATTTGTCCTTGTGACTATTATAAAGCAAGTCATCATTAAGTATTTAGAAAAGATGGGTAGTAACTAAGACCTAATCGTGCTAACCACACCTCATTCTTTTTTTTTTTTTTTTTAATTATGCTTTATTCACTTTGTATCCCTCCTGTGGTTCCCTCCCTCCTCCTGTCCCAATCCCTCCCTTCCTCCACCCTCTGCATGCATGCCCCTTCCCAAGTCCACTGATAGGGGAGGTCTTTTTTTCCTTCCTTCTGATCCTAGTCAATTAGGTCTCATCAGGAGTGGCTGCATTGTCTTCTTCTGTGGCCTGGTAATGCTGCTTCCCCCTCAGGGGGAGGTAATTAAAGAGCAGGCCAATCAGTTCATGTCAGGGACAGTCCCTGTTCCTATTACAATGGAACCCACTTGGATACTGAACTTCCATGGGCTACATCTGTGCAGGGGTCTTAGGTTATCTCCATGCTTAGTCCTTGGTTAGAATAGCAGTCTCAGGAAAGACCCCTGTGCTCAGATTTTTTGGTTCTGTTGCTCTCCTTGTGGAGTTCCTGTCCTCTCCAGATCTTACTGTTTCCCACTTCTTTCCTAAGATTCCCTGCACTCTGCCCAAGGGTTGCCCATAAGTCTCAGCATCTGCATTGATAGTCTCTGAAAGGCTCTGCCCTGCAGACTACCACACCTCATTCTTAAGTCAGTAAACTATGCTTTATAAATTGTTTATGGGTGTGGCAACCCACAGTTCCTTTCGCTCAACCTTATAAACAAGAGTCCTTTCTCCCAGCTTAGCATTTATGCCAGAGGTGGGGGAACCAAGCATTGTTCCTGCATGTACTATGATATGAACCAGATTGGAAAATTCTGAGTGAAAGAAATGCCACAGATGAAGCCCACCTTGATTTTTTTTTTTTTAAGGCAAACAAGTCAGGCTTGATGACTTATAAGGTCATCAAAATTCATAAATTTTTATGAGTCAGGTGCTGATTAGTAATTATCTGTTTAGAAGTCAGTCTGTGCCCTCCCATAGAGCTTTCTCTGCCCTTGATCCTAACTTCCCGACATATGTATCCAAAGATTGAGAAAAGCTGTGCCAGCTAGAAGACACTTAATATAATGACTACTAACTTTGATTTTTAAATTTAAAATTTGTTAATGACATGTAAAAACATGCAGAATAAACTTGATAGCTTTAAATTTTCCTATTACATTTCAGAAAACAAGTATGACTATCTTCCTACTACTGTGAATGTATGCTCAGAGCTGATGAAGCTGATTCTCTGTATACTCGTGTCACTCTGTGTTATTAAAAAAGGTAATTACTAAACTGTTGTACATTTGCTACATCACACTATCAAAAAACATTGGAACTCGTGTAATGTTTGTATAATGTAGTCTAGTCCAAGCATAAGTATGTTTTATAGGGAGGGAAACGGGAGCTAAGAAAATGTTACACAGAGTTGTATTGGAAGGAGGGGCGCTCAGAGATTTTCTGCTGTAATTAATGGGATCCTGCCCACTGTTCTGCCTCATCGCTTCTTCCTGAGATGGTTATACTCAATGGGTTTTTATTAATTTTCCATGTTGGTTTCCCAGTTATGGGCTTTGTCACTATAGTTCTACTCTTTCTTTTGTAAGCTAAATGCTTTTAGAGAGCATTAGAATGCTTACATGGAAAGTCTTTGCACAGTCAGCAGTTTCAGTCTGTCATGAGTTCTAGTTAGTTGGTTGCATTTCATAATTTCATGGCATTTGTACATTGCTTGGAGGGCTTACTTTAAACTGTCCCCCTTCTGCATTTTATCTCTATCACAGCATGCCTTCCTAACTTTCTGGAAATCTGGAGTTGGAATAATAGCTAAACCCAGGATTAATAAAAGTTAACCATCTCATAGTCAGTACATATAAAATTTCACTGACTAGTTCCTTTCTCTGATCACCACTTGAGGGGAGAGTGAAAGCATAAAGGCTTCATTCTTCTTTTCTACTTACTCTAACTTGTTGATATCTTGCTTGTATGTTAATGTGGTGTATGTATACAACACAAGTGTATATGGAGTCACCTCCATATACAAGAAGTGATAGTTCTGCTTTGAGTTGGTAGAGAAAAAAGAGATACTAATAAATGCCATATTATCTTTTAGTTCTGCAGACTTGAAGTAACTTACAAAAGCAATTTAATAAAGCTCATTTTATAGAATTCTACCAATAATCAAGTTTAGTGTAGTTTCAATGGAAACAAGCATTCTCAATGAAGATGATTTCTTCATTGCTCTGTATGATTCATATATCTCTTTCTTCAGAAGATCATCAAAGTAGACATTTGAGATGTATTTCCTGGAAGGAATTCTCAAGTTTCATGAAGTGGTCCATTCCTGCTTTCCTCTATTTCCTGGATAATTTGATTGTCTTCTATGTCCTGTCCTATCTTCAGCCCGTAAGTAACAGTATAAATGAGGAAATGCCATTTGGAAGTTAGCCCATAAGTAGCAGTGTAACAGAGGAAATGCCATTGGGAAGTCACAAAAAAGTAAGTCCACAAACCCACCTTACTTGTTCTCATCTCTCACTGGCCTTCCTGAAGTTTTCTAGAACCATCTGAATACTGATTTGCCTGTGTGTGCCAGATCATCACGTTGTTGATGATGCCTGTGCTGGCACTTGGGAGGAGTTTCTCCCAGACACAAGGACTAATTAGCCACCCTGACTGTGTAAATGATCAGCTAGTTATTTTGAGCTATCTTATAATCATTCAAGACCTCCACTCAGACAGTATTAATTCAGAAAATACAGTTGATGGACCTCTCTTTGCCCTGCCTGTTTTAATGTAGTTTATCCAATTACTATGTATGTATTTGTATCCATATTTACTATATGACTTTTCTGGGGTTTTTTTCACATTTATGTATGTGTTTGTGCATGTATGTGGGTACACATGTGCCATGGCACAAAAGTGGAAGTCATAGAACAGCTTGTGGATGTAAGTTTTCTCCTTCCACCATATGGGTCCCAAGATCAAACTCAGGTCATTGGATTTGGCTCTAGGCACCTTTTCCTATCTTGCTGCCCCCTTTTTATGTTAATCCTATCTACAAATTCCTCAAGAGTATGAAACTATCAATTCAACTGATTATCCTAAGAATACTCACTCTGCTACATCTTCTGTATCAATTTGGAAAGGCATTGCTAATCACAGTTAAGTCTTCGGCCTGGGTGGAGACTCATGCATTTTATCCTAGCTAGCGCTTGGAAGGCAGAGGCAAACAGATCTCTGAGTGTTTGAGGTCAGCTTGGTCTGCAGAAGGAGATCTAGGACAGCTAGGGCTGTATAGAGAGACGCTCACTCAAAAAAAAAAAAAAAAAATCAAACTTTACTTCACCACGTAGTCAGCTTGGGTTCCATTGCTTCCTTCCCCAGTATTGCTTAAAGTGAGAACTTTTATTGCCTATATTATATATTAAGTTTTTAAGAAATAATAAATTAACACTTTAATCATAAATAGTATTTTTATTGGCACCGATCCTTTATGTGAAACTTCCCAGATGTGTCTTAGAAACGGATGAGAAGGAGAAAGCAATACACATAGAAGGAACCAGGAGCCTGGCACTGTCTCACACGTGGAAATCTGAGTAACTGGGAAGGCCTTGTTTGCGCTCAGTTTCAATACTTCTATCTATAAAGTAGAAGAAAAAAATACTAAACCAGCTCAAAGGCAGGGACTTGGGCCGCCCGCACACCTGTGTTGCTGTGCTCTGTGGTTGCGTGATAGTAAGTGCTCAGTTCATGTAATGTGCCTTCTTTTATCTTTCCACTTTTTTAGACATCGTAACTCATCACAGCAACACGATAATTCACATTCAGTAATAAACATTACTTATGTTTTACTGGAAATTAACAGATTTCCTGCATGTCCAGTATTAAACAAAGTTGCAACTTCCTTATTCTTCTTCTGTATTTATTGCCTGGGTCTTCCTGATCCGCGATAACTACAAATATTATGTAACAGATTGTATGATTTAGTCTGCATTTCATGTCTAGTTCTACTTAAGGAATTAAATAAAGGTGCATAGAAGCTTTAGGACAAAGAATTATGATTAGATTGATTCTCTGGTGTTAACATAGGAAATGTGTTCAGAATCTGTCAAAGCAGTCAGGCTGACTAGTTGTGTGCATCACACGTTCCTGTGTGGTCGTGATTGCTCAAGGCTACTTCCCTACTCTTAACCAGCCGCTTTCCTCATCATTTCTTCCTCTTCTCCTAACCAGAAGCCACACGCATTTCCATTATAGTGAGATACACTAAAAATATCCATTCATAGTCTCCCACACAAATAATACAGTGATTGGCAAGCTAGAAATGTTGATTGCCCTGATTCGATATGTATGTAATAAATTACTACTTTTAATGACCAGTAAGTACGTACTATTATGTATCTAATTTTTTTTCTTACTGTGTTTTGGTTTTTCAAGACAGGGTTTCTCTATATAGCCTGGGCTATCCTGGACTTGTTTGTAGACTAGGCTGGCCTTGAACTCACAGAGATCCACCTGCCTCTGCCTCCCCGAGTGCTCGGACAACAGTGTGCATCACCACGCCTGTCTATGTCTAATTCTTACTAGAAACCTCAATAGAAAAACATTAGATTTTTACAATTGCTACGAGGTTTGCTCAATTTTACTTTTTTTTTCTTTTAACTCTTGTAGCTGTGTTTCCTGTTATTAGTGGTTGTTTAAGACTTGATAGTCTCTGTTGTTTATTTGATTTCTTGGTGCAGGGTTTTGCTGTCTCAGACTACACAGGAGCTCAAGACTCCTGCATTATTAGCCTTCTAAGTGCTGATACCACATATAGATAACAACACACCTAGTTTCTCTGTGTATTCACCCAAAGTGGTAACAAGAAATAAAGAAAGGTGAATTGTACCATATGATTGTTAAAAAATATTAGTGTTGTCTGATCCATTTATAGGGAACAATCGTAGGATTTCATATATTCTAAGCAACACACACAAAAATAGTAATTTTTAAGAAGTCTGTACCTATAAGATATGATAAACATAATGAAATCTATACACCTAAAAATGATAATCAAGAGAGTGGACACGGGGTAAGATGATCAGTCCTCATTTAGAAAGACAGATGGGATGTGCATTGAACGTATGACAGGAGTCTACTGCAGAAGGCATCTGAAAGACTCTACCTAGCAGTGTTTTCAAAGCAGATACTAAGACTCATGACCAAACCTTCGGCAGAGTACAGGGAATCATATGAAAGAAGGGGAGTTAGTCTGATGGGGAAAGGATAGGAGCTCCACAAGGACCAAATATATCTGGGCACAGGGACTTTTCTGAAACTGACATTCAACCAAGGACCATGTATGGATATAACCTAGAACCTCTGCTCGGATGTAGCCCGTGGTAGCTCAGTAACCAATTGGTTTCCCTTAGTAAGGGGAACAAGGACTATCTCTAATAGAAACTCAATGGCTGGCTCTTTGACCTCCCCACCCCCCAAGGGAGAAGCAGTTCTGTTAGGCCACAGAGAAGAGCTTTGCAGCCAGTCCTGAAGATATCTGATAAAACAGGGTCAGATGAAGGGGGAGGAGGTCCCCCCCATCAGTGGACTTGGAAAGGGGCAGGGAGGAGATGAGGGAGGAAGGGTGGGATTGGGAGGGAATGAGGAAACGGGATACAGCTGGGAAACAGAGTTAATAAAATTTAACTGATAAGAAAAAAATAAAATTTAATAAAAAAGAAAACTAAAAAAGAAAAAAAAAGAAGTCTGTAAAGGGCTTTGACAGCTGCTTTAAAAACAAACAAACAAAAAAAAAACCAGTGTGCTTCATAGCGTGGTAACTTGTTTCTAAACCTAAACCTTTAGAATTTGTATTTCTTAATCTGCTTATACAGATCATTTAGACAGGCATTGCCCAAACTTAAACATATATAACTTGATCATAACCGCATAAATTTAACAAGCAATAAAAACAGAATTTAATCCCCCAGTGAAACAGCTGCCCTAATAACCACTTTGCTTTGTAACTAAAAGGCTTTTGTATCAGGTGAACTAGCAAGCTGAGAAGTTGTGAGGTCAGTGCTTTGCTTGGATTGTAATTCTATCTTCCTTTTCTTTCTAGGCCATGGCTGTTATCTTCTCGAATTTTAGCATTATAACAACAGCTCTTCTATTCAGGATAGTGCTGAAGTAAGTAATTGACGGTGGAAGCATATATCATCCTTAAAGTAGGCCAGTCTGGCTTTAATAATTTACCCAGAATGCTGAGCCCACAGAACCCATATGCCAAGATCTTATTTCTAGTTAGCCTTATATACTAGATACCTTGTTCATCCAATGTGGAAAGCAGCTAGCTCTAGTGCTGTTTAAATCCCCTGCCATCAGGTATATGAAATATCTTGAACTTCTCAAAAGTGAGGTATTTGATTACTATTTATTGGTATTTTAATTTTTAGTGTTTTTTTTTTTAATGTTTGTTTTGTGACAAGGTCTCACTTTGTATCCCAGAATAGCCTTGAACTCATAGTCAGGCTGCTTTAACCTCCCAAGTGCTAAGATTAGTAGCCACATCATTGAGCTTGCATAGGTCTTATGTATGCTCTCACAGTTGGTGAGTTCATATCTACATCTGCTCTGCTGTGTCCAGATGACACTATTTCCTTGAAATTATTCACCACCTCTGGCTCTCACATTCTTTCTGTCACCTCTTCCCTAGTCAGCCCTAAGCCTTGGGAGGAGGGAATGTGATATAAATATCCCGTTTATAGCTGACCATTCAGCAGACAATCCCTTATTCTCTGAACTTTAACGACTTATGGGTCTTTATGTTAATCACCATCTAGTCCAAAAACAAAAAAAAAAAAAAATTCTCTGATGAGGGTTAAAAGATAGCCCACTGATAAGGGTTAAAAGTCATCAGATGTAGCCCATGGCAGCTCAGTATCCAAGTGAGTTTCCTAGTAAGGGGAACAGGGATTGTCTCTGACATGAACTCAGTGGCTGGCTCTTTAAATCCCCAAGGGAGGAACAGCCTTGCCATGCCACAAGGGGGATGAGGCAGCCAGTCCTGGTGATAACTGATAAGCTAGGGTCAGCTAAAACGGGAGAAGGACCTCCCCTATCCGTGGACTTGGAAAGGAGCATAGGAGGAGATAAGGGACGGAGGGTGGGATTGGGAGTGGAGGAGGGATGGAACTACAGCTGGGATACAAGGTGAATAAACTGTAATTAATATAAAAAGTAAAAATTTAATTTAAAAAAAGTCATTAGGAGTCCAGATCTCCAACATAAATGTAGCAAGATGTGCATCATGGTCACTGTGGGTTCCCTAATAACCCAAGTAGAGGCTGTCTCTAACTCTGTTGCCTGCCTTTGAATTCCCAAGCTGCCTTGTCTGGCCTCAGTGGGAGAAGACTGGCTTAGTCCTGTTGTGACTTGAAGTGCCAGGATGGGTTTGTATCTCTTAGGGGCCTGCCCTTTTCTCAGAAGAAGGAGCGATAGAGGAAAGGGGGCATGAGGGAAGGACTGGGAGGAGAGAAGGAAGGGGCCTGGGATCAGGCTGTAAAGTAATTAAATAAATAAAATAAAATTCTAAAATATCCATAAACTGTATGTAAGAGAAACAATGATATTTGTCTAAGACTGGCTTAATTTATATACTATGATTATTCCAGTTATATCCAATATTTTGATTTATTGATTTAAAAATGATTTATTTTTTCTTTATCAATAAAAGCTGCACTGCATATATACCAAAGAAAAAAAAAAGCCCATTTAACAGAATAATAGCAGTAGATACTCCTCTAGGGCCCATGACCTATCTAGCCACCCGTTCTTGGCCCTGATAACAGTGCTACATATGGGTTTCAGCTTGTGGAGTGGGCCTTAAAAACAGTCAGAAGAGGTTGGCTACCCTATGACATTTGTGTCACTATTGTATTAGTGGTCATGTATTGCCAAGCTGACAGTTATTGTATTTTTCAGAGCTCACAGCTAGGTAAGGTTGAGGATTACTTTTCTCAGTTAGTTTACTTTTTCCTTCTGATAGCTTGCATAACGTCTTTGAGCTCTCTGAAAGCTATCCAGTATAAAGCTTCCATAGAAGTCAGGAAATAGTACAGAGCCGTAGGACAATGATGAATGAGAGATCTTGAAGAAGAAGAGCTAGAACATAGTGGCACAAGAGTTAAAGGGGGATAAGGGAAGGAAAAGGGTTAAATTGAGTGGAGGATTGAAGAACCTGTTAGACAGTGACTAACATGAAAGACCTTTCAAAAGAGTCATATGGAAACTACTGTAGACATGTATGTGAGTCTACATAGAGTTGCCCAGTAATGTGACAATACCCCAACTAGTGTCGAGTGCGAAAAGGCAAGTGTCAGGAAGGGATTCTCTCTTCTGACTTGTTGGCCAGTGATGCCACCCAGTTATTTTTTTGTCAACTTGACACAAGCTGGATTTATCTCGGAAGAGAAACTTCAGTTTGAGAAAATACCTCCATCGGATTTCCTGAAGGCAAGTCTTCAGGAACGTTTTCTTGATTAATGATTCATAAGGAAATGGGAGGGCCCAGATCACTGCCAGCAGTGCTACTCTTTGGCAGGTGGTCCTGGATGGTAGAAGAAGGCAGTCATTTTCTCCAAAAGTACTTATTTGACAATTCTTTATCATTTCTTACAACTCTGTATTCCTAGGCACTCACTCAGAAATGTATCTTGTGTCATTTTCTTGAGAAAGCAGTTAGGTGAATCTTTTCATTGTTTTATTCTCTGCTTTGCTTTAATATCACTAAAGACAGTAGAAACATAATAAAACTGAGCTTACCTGACACAATTTAATGTAATTGCTCACTTAATAGATAAGTTAATAATGGTAAATTGTGTATAGTTACCCCTAAGAAGCCACAGAATTTGTTCTAAAAGGCCAAAAATTATGTGCAAACATGTGAGCAGGCATGATATACGTCTGTGCTGCTTCCTAAGTTAGCGTACGCATTTAGCAGTTTTCACAGAATGAAGCTGTAGAATGGATGTCAGACTCATCATTCCACATATGTCCTGGGAGTTTAGAGCAGGTCTTAAAAGTTGTAGCTATTTAGGAGGAAGAAAGGGATAACACAAATCTTCTTCTTGTCTCATAAACATGTGAGCAGGTAAGTCATTTGTGTGTCACTTAGCTCTTTCGCAGAGCAGGAATTGCCTATCCTTCCCTAGGTGCTCAAAAACACTTATTACTCCCAGTTCTCACTCTTACACTTCCTGCTTTTCTTGGCTTTCCCCATCTTCTGCTGATGACCTGCTCCTTGCAGACTGTTCCAGCCCGAGAGAGAGCTGCGTTTTCTTCTCTGTTGCCTTTGCATAGATGCCTCTCTACAAGTGTCCCTCCTTCCCCAGTATACTCCGTGGATCATCTGTCTCACCTTCTGCCATCACTTAGCTCCATGGCTCTGTCCTGGTTATATGTAAGCTCCCTGAGAGGGAGGTCAAATTTTTATCAGCCTAGTTTGCCTGTTTGTTACATGTTTTTTGAACTGAGTAAGTTGACAAGTAGAATAATTGTGCATATATTCCACAAATTTACTCTCAGGCAAAGCAAGTAATAAAGCTTTGTTGGGTTTTATAAGCAGAAATACCACCCAAAATAATTTTTCTTTTACTTATTTTCCATTACTTTTGCTATTTGGTGGCTTATTATTAGGCTCTTGACCCAGCAGCTAATGTCCTTAAAAATTTTGTATGTCATGAAGTCCTTTGAGAAAAGTCTAGTTTCCTTTTGGAAAATTTATCTGCATCAGTTACTAAAGTTTATCCATACTGCTTTTTCTGATTCTTTGAAACTGAGCTAAAGTACTCTGTCAGAATTTACAGTTTATTAAAATAAAAATCACTGTGCTGTAGAGATCTGAAATAGCCCTGGAAGACAGCTGTGTTACAGCTGTACATGCAAAGGTGATCTGTAGGAAGAAGTTAAGCATATCCTTATGGCACTCTGAAAGTGGATAGAGGGGTCAGGTTTGAGACACAGGCCTGTCAAGTTTATAGTGCACTTGAGTTGTGGGGAATGCTAGCAACCGTGTATAGTTTATTCAGCCCAAGTATTCAAGTTTCTGAATTTTCAATAGAACAATTAATGGGGAGTGGGAGTGGGAATGAAGTGGAAAAAAAATGCGGTAAAATCTTACTTTCTCCCTCTTTGAATAGGCGGCATCTGAACTGGATACAGTGGGCTTCCCTCCTGATTCTGTTTTTGTCTATTGTTGCCCTAACTGCCAGTACCAAAACGTCACAGCATGACTTGGCAGGACATGGATTTCATCACGATGCCTTCTTCACCCCATCCAATTCCTGCCTTAATTTCAGGAGAGAATGTTCCTTAAGAGACAATTGTACAGTGAAGGAGTGGACTTTCACAGAATTCAAGTGGAACACCACAGCCAGAGTTTTCAGTCACATCCGTTTGGGCTTAGGCCATATTCTGATCATAGTTCAGTGTTTTATTTCTTCAATGGCCAATATTTATAATGAGAAGATCCTGAAGGAGGGGGCACAGGTCACTGAGAGCATCTTCATACAGAATAGCAAGCTTTATTTCTTCGGCATTGTTTTTAATGGGCTGACCCTGGTCCTTCAGAGCAGTAACCGTGATCAGATTCAGAACTGTGGGTTTTTTTATGGACACAATGCATTTTCAGTGGCCCTTATTTTCGTGACTGCCTTCCAGGGCCTTTCAGTGGCTTTTATCTTGAAATTCTTAGACAACATGTTCCATGTCTTGATGGCCCAGGTGACAACTGTCATCATCACAACAGTGTCCGTCCTGGTCTTCGACTTCAGGCCCTCCCTCGACTTTTTCCTAGAAGCCCCATCAGTTCTTCTCTCCATATTTATTTATAATGCAAGCAAGACTCAGAATGTAGAATGTGCTCCTAGAAAAGAAAGGATCCGAGATCTAAATGGCAGTCTTTGGGAGCGTTCCAGTGGGGTATGTTGTAAATGCACTTTCTGCTCGCTCTTAAATTTAAAACACAATTATTCAAGGAGGTGAATAGCATCAGTTTATCAGAAGGTGTATTAGATCTGTATGACTTACAGACGTCACGCACAGGACTTCTGATCCTGGTAAAGACTAGGTAAACCACAGTGCCTCCAGGATTTTGTGTGTTAATTATGCAATTGCATCACATAGAACTGCAGACGCCAAAGATACTCACTGTACCTTGTCTCGTCCCATCTCCGCTAGATTGATGGGTAGAGAGTGAACTAAATGGTTTATCGACAGTAGGTAAAAGGACTAGTAATGTAACTGTTTATATTACTAGCTTCTAATCCTGGCTTTTTCCACTGCACGTGGTTGGAAAAAGTTAATATTTTACATTGATCAATCATGTGAAATTGAAAACCTGGTACCTTAGTCTTCCTAGTAGTTATCTGTTTATTTCACTAAAAAAAAAAATATTTTTAACAAGAACTATCTCAAATAAGAACATATTCTTAAACATTCAGTTATTCTGAATTTATAATTTTTATTAACACGGAGATGAACTATTTCACATAATGAGTCCATTTTACTCTTTGGGAAAATCTGTCATTTACTAGGTTCATAGCAAACCTCCAGGTGTTGTATCTCTGAGGTTTTGATACAACAGATTTTAAGATTAAAAAAGAAGAAAAGAAAAAGTGTGTCCCAAACATCTGAGTCAGCAAAAGTGCACCCTCAGAAGTCCTGTTCTTTCCGGGTGCTGATAATAACTTCTTTATTATTAAGTTTTAAGCTTACTTTTTAAGGAAAATAAAATCATTTTAAGTACCAAGAACCCTTGGAATCATTCATGGTTCTTTAATCACTTCCCTGCAAGACCAGCAAGTGGTGCCCTTGGTCTGAGTTGAATGCACTTATTTTTTAATTAAAAAAACTTGTTTTAAATTTATTTTATTGTATGTGTACACATTTGTATGCCTTGTGCCCTCAGAGGTAAGAAGGAGACATCAGATTCCCTCAGGGACTAGAGTCACAGGTGATTGTTGTGACATACTATTTGGGTGCTTGGAACCTAACCTGAGTCCTCTGTAAGAGCAATAAGTGCTCTTAACCACTGGGCTGTCTTTCCTGTCCCTCCTCCCCTTTATTTTTTGGTCATCTAATGTATTTCAAACTGTAGCATTTCACCTCTTCAACTTGAGGTTATATTCACAGTTAACAAACAAAAATTCATAATTGAATGAATAACCTTTGATTTATGTATTTAGTAAGACAGTCCTTTAGTAATTGTTGAAGATGAAGCATTTCTAATTCTAACTAAATATTCATTTCGTGTTTCCCTTTAGGATGGAGAGGAGCTGGAAAGACTTACCAAACCCAAGAGTGATGACTCCGAGGACGACACTTTCTAATTGTACCTGGGTGGTTGACAGCTCTCGCAAGCTGTGTTTGCACATTTTCAACATTTGTGGCAATTGTCTTTTCTGATAAACTGATGATGTTCGAAAGCATAATAATCTTTACATGTATCTAACCACTACATGAACAGCTCCATCCAAAACTTAGAGCAGCCACAGGGTGGCAGAGTTCTGAGACATGAACATAGGACTGTGAATAACCCAGTACTTGATGAATCAACAGAATGCATAAGCAGATTTTTCTTCCTCAGCCTCCAGCCTCCAGAAATCATGTTAACTAGACCCTACCCGTACACAAATGGAGACAGTGTGCCAGATACTAATCACTGTGTCATATTGTCTGCCTGTCCTGGTTTCCCCTCGCCCCACCTTCATCATTATAAATATTGTCTATGTTTTCCCTCAAATTTCAAGGCCTTAGCACTAGTCATTTTGCTTTTATTAAAGCAACAAGACTCTAAAATTTTTTGGCTGAAAGACCTAAGTATCTGGCTGTGCCATAGATTTTGGATAACATCCTTTGTGATAAATATTTTTAAAGCTATTCTTCAGAAATAAAATTTCAAATTTAATTTTTTGGAACTTATAAAAAATTGTATTCTTAGTAATTATCTTTTTTTTTTTTTTTTTTGCAGCTTTATTTACATGAAAGTTGGTTGCCAAGTTGTCATGTTACCACTTGCATTTTAAATCACCTAAGCCTTTGTGGATTTGTTTTGTTTACTTCATCTTCCTCAGTTTGTATATTTACAAAATCTTGTCGTCATCACTTTTTGATGTTACATTACTGTGTTGAGAATTAAGTTGTTTTAATTTTTAGTTATTAATTGAACCTTGTAACTGTTAAGTATCTTTATATATAGATTCTAAAATTCTAAAATTCAGAACCTTTATAAGAATCCTTTTGTAAAAACTATAATGACTTTTAATGAAATAGTAGAGTTAGTCTGACAGAGGGCCAGTAATCAGTAAGTCACCTAAAAATAGCTTATACTTACAAGTGCATGGCATGTTTCAAGGTATGTTTGCATGCAGCCAATTGACTCTTTGTTGGTAGAACAATCATGTGACAGGTAATGAAAAAGTCAGAAAATAGAATGATATGTTCCAGCTCCTACAGCTGGATAGTGATAGAAACAAGCTTCAAGCCTGTGTGTTTACAAAGTCATATACTGTAAGTATGAATTACAAGCTACCATGCAGTTTGCACATTCCTTCTTCAAGTTTCCATGTATTTATATTTAAGATATTAGTATTATTGTAATTCACCTGTCTACCCAGAATAATATAACTAGCAGTCACTGCTAAAACTTTTTCATTAAAATAATTACTAGTCTAATCTTGTGTCTGTACTCCTTTTTAATTTTATATTTAACTTTCATTAATTAAACTTTATTCATTTTGTATCCCCACATAAGCCCCTCCTTCCTCCCTTCTCGATCCCACCCTCCCTCCCCGTTCTGCATGCGTGCCCCTCCCCAAGTCCACTGATAGGGGAGGTCCTCCACTCCTTTCTGATCTTAGTCTATCAATTCTCATCAGAAGTGGCTGCATTGTCATCTTCTGTGGCCTGGTAAGGCTGCTCCCCCCTAAGGGGGAGGTGATCAAAGAGCAGGCCAATCAGATTATGTCAGAGGTAGTCCCTCTTCCCATTAGTAGGTAACCCACTTGGACACTGAACTGCCATGGGCTACATCTGTGCAGGGGTTCTAGGTTATCTCCATGAATAGTCCTGGGTTGGAGTATGAGTCTCTGGGAAGTTCCCTGTGTTCAAATTATCTTGTTCTGTTGCTCTCCTTGTGGAGTTCCTGTCCTCTCCAGCTCTTAGTATTTCCCACTTCTTACATAAAATTCCATTCACTCTGCCCGACAGTTGGCCATCAGGCTCAGCATCTGCTTTGACAGTCTGCAGGGCAGAGGCTTTCAGAGGCCCTCTGTGGCAGGTTCCAAGGTTGTTTACTGTTTTCTTCTGGCTTTCAGAGGCCCTCTGTAGCAGGTTCCTAGGTTGTATCCTGTTTTCTTCTTTTGATGTCCATCCTCTTTGCCTTTCAGGATGGGGATTGAACATTTTAGTTAGGCTCCTCTCTTTTGCTTAGTTTGTTTAGATGTACCGATTTTAGTGGGTTTACCCAACGTTGTATGTTTATATGAGTGAGTATATACCGTGTGTGTCTTTTTGCTTCTGGGACAACTCACTCAGGATGATCCTTTCCAGGTCCCACCATTTACCTACAAATTTCATGATTTCCTTATTTTTCATTGCTGAGTAATAATCCATTGTATAGATGTACCACAGTTTCTGTATCCATTCTTCAGTTGAGGCGCATCTGGGCTGTTTCCAGCTTCTAGCTATTACAAATAAAGCTGCTACAAACATGGTTGAGCAAATGTCCTATTTGTGTACTTGAGCCTCTTTTGAATATATGCCTAGGAGTGGTATGGCTGGACCTTGAGGGAGCGCTATTCCTAGTTGAGAAAGCGCCAGATTGATTTCCAGAGTGGTTGTACAAGTTTACATTCCCACCAGCAGTGGAGAAGGGTTCCCCTTTCTCCACAACCTCTTCAGCATGTGTTGTCACTTAAGTTTTTGATCTTGGCCATTCTGATGGGTGTAAGGTGAAATCTCAGGGTTGTTTTGATTTGCATTTCCCTAATGGCTAATGAGGTTGAGCATTTCTTTAAGTGCTTCTCTGCCATTCCATATTCCTCTACAGAGAGTTCTCTGTTTAGCTCTGTTTCCCATTTTTTAAGTGGATTACTTGGTTTGCTGCTTTTCAGCTTCTTTAGTTCTTTATATATACTGGATATGAGTCCTCTGTCAGATAAAGGGTTGGTGATGATTCTTTCCCAATCTGTAGGCAGTCGCTTTGTTTTGATGATGGTGTCCTTTGCTTTACAGAAGTTTTCAGTTTCATGAGGTCCCATTTATTGACTGTTGATCTTAGAGCCTGTGCTGTTGGTGTTCTGTTCAGGAAGTTGTCTCCTGTACCAATGAGTTCAAGGCTCTTCCCCACTTTTTCTTCTAACCGATTTAATGTGTCTGGTCTTATGTTGAGGTCTTTGATCCACTTGGACTTCAGTTTTGTGCAGGGTGATAAGTATGGATCTATTTTCATTTTTCTACATGTAGACATCCAGTTGGACCAGCACCATTTGTTGAAGATGCTATCTTTTTTCCATTGTATGGTTTTGGCATCTTTGTCAAAAACCAGGTGTCCATAAGTGTGTGGGTTTATTTCTGGGTCTTCTGTTCGATTCCATTGATCCACCATTCTGTTTCTATGCCAGTACCATGCAGTTTTTATAACTGTTGCTCTATAGTACAGCTTGAGATCAGGGATGGAGATACCTCCAGAAGATCTTTTAGTATAGAGGATTGTTTTAGCAATTCTGGGTTCCTTGTTATTCCATACGAAGTTGAGAATTTTTCTTTCCAGGTCTGTAAAGAATTGTGTTGGCAATTTGATGGGAATTGCATTAAATCTGTAGATTGCTTTTGGAAGATGGCCATTTTTACTATGTTAATCTTGCCATGACATGAGCATGGGAGATCTTTCCATCTTCTCATATCTTCTTCTAATTCTTTCTTCAGAGACATGAAATTTTTTTCATACAAGTCTTTGACTTGCTTAGTTAGGGTTACACCAAGGTACTTTATGTCATTTGTGGCTATTGTGAAGGGTGTTGTTTCCCTAATTTCTTTCTCAGCCCTTTTGTCTTTTGTATACAGGAGGGCTACTGATTATTTTGAGTTAATTTTGTATCCGGCCACTTTGCTGAAGGTGTTTATCAGCTTTAGGAGTTCCCTGGTAGAGTTTTTGGGGTCACTCAAGTATACTATTATATCATCTGCAAATAGTGATAATTTGACTTCTTCCTTTCCAATCTGTATCCCCTTGATCTCCTTCAACTGTCTTATTGCTCTAGCAAGGACTTCCAGCACTATGTTGAAGAGATATGGAGAGAGTGGGCAGCCTTGTCTTGTCCCTGATTTCAGTGGAATTGCTTTAAGTTTTTCTTCGTTCAGTTTGATGTTGGCTATAGGCTTGCTGTATATCGCCTTTACTATGTTTAGATATGTGCCTTTTATCCCTAATCTCTCCAATACTTTAAACATGAATGGATGTTGGATTTTGTCAAATGCTTTTTCAGGATCTAGGGAGATTATCATTTAGTTTTTTTTTTCTTTCAGTTTGTTAATATGGTGGATCACATTGATGGATTTCCATATATTGAACCAACCCTGCATACCTGGGATGAAGCCTACTTGGTCATAGTGGATAATATCTTTGATGTGTTCTTGTGTTCGGTTTGCAAGTATTTTGGTAAGTATTTTTGCATCAATGTTTATAAGGGAGATTGGCCTGAAATTCTCTTTCTTTGTTGAGTCTTTGTGAGGTTTAGGTACCAAGGTGACTGTGGCTTCATAGAATGAGTTTGGTGATGTTCCTTCTGTTTCTATTTTGTGGAATAGTTTGAAGAGAATTGGAGTTAGCTCTTCTTTGAAGGTCTGGTAGAATTCTGCGCTGAAGCCATCTGGTCCTGGGCTTTTTTTGGATGGGAGACTTTTGATAACCGCTTCTATTTCTTTGTGGGATATAGCACTATTTAATTGATTTACCTGGTCCTGATTCAGCTTTGTTAAGTCAAATCAATCAAGAAAATTGTCCATTTCATTTAGATTTTCAAATTTTGTTGAGTATAGACTTTTGAAGTAAGTCCTAATGATTGTTTGGATTTCCTCAGTGTCTGTAGTTATGTCCCCCTTTTCATTTCTGATTTTGTTGATTTGGGTGGTGTCTCTCTGCCTTTTAGTTAGCTTGGCTAAGGGTTTGTCGATCTTATTGATTTTCTCAAAGAACCAGCTCTTGGTTTCATTGATTCTTTGAATTGTTTTATTTGTTTCTAATTGATTGATTTCAGCCCTGAGTTTGATTATTTCCAGCCGTCTACTCCTTTTATGGTGTGTCTGCTTCTTCTTTTTCTAGGGTTTTTAAGTGAGCCATTAAGTTGCTTGAATGAGCTGTCTCGAATTTCTTCTTGAAGGCACTTAGTGCTATGAACTTTCCTCTTAGCACTGCTTTCATTGTGTCCCACAAATTTGGGTATGTTGTGTCTTCATTTTCATTGAGTTCTAGGAAGACTTTAATTTCTTTCTTTATTTCTTCCCTGACCCAGCTGTCATTTAGTAACAAGTTGTTCAGTTTGCATGTGTGTGTAGGCTTTTTGCTATTTCTGTTGTTGTTGAGGTCCAGTTTTAGTCCATGGTGATCAGACAAGATACAAGGGATTCTTCTTGTATCTGTTGAGGCTTGCTTTGTGACCAACTATATGGTCTATTTTAGAGAAGATTCCATGAGGTGCTGAGAAGAAGGTAAATTCTTTTGTGTTAGGGTGTAAAGTTCTGTAAATGTCTGTTAGGTCCATTTGATTCATGACCTCTGTTAGAGACATTGTTTCTTTGTTTAATTTCTGTTTTGTTGACCTGTCCTTTGTTGAAAGTGGGGTGTTGAAGTCTCCCACTATTGATGTGTGGGGATCTATATGTGGTTTAAATTTTATCAATGTTTCTTTAACAAATGTGGGTGCTCTTGTATTTGGGGCATAGGATTGTGATGTCTTTCTGGTGGAATTTTCCCTTGATGAGTATGAAGTGTCCTTCCCCATCTCTTTTTATTAATTTTGGTTGAAAGTCTATTTTATCAGATATTAGAATGGCTACTCCCGCTTGCTTCTTGGGTCCATTTGCTTGGAAAGTCGTCTTCCAACCCTTTACCCTCAGGTAATGTCTATCTTTGTGCCTTAGGTGTGTTTTTTATATGCAACAGATTGCTGGGTTTTGTTTACATATCCATTCTGTTAATCTGTGTCTTTTTACTGGAGAGTTGAGTCCATTGATGTTGAGAGAGATTAATGACCAGTGGCTGTTAGATCCTTTGATTTTGATGTTGGCTGTGGTCATCAGTATGTGTGCTTGGTTGCTTTTTGTTTTACTATAGTAGGGTTAATTATTTCCTGTGTTTTCTTGAAAGAAACTAATTTTCTTGGGTTGTATGTTCCCTTCCAGTGTCTTCTGTAATGCTGGATTTGTGTGTAGGTATTGTTGAAATTTGTTTTTGTCATTGAATATCTTGTTTTCTCCGTCTATGAGGACTGAGAGTTTTGCAGAGTATAGTAGCCTGGGCTGACATCTGTGTTCTCTTAGGGTCTGCATGATATCTGTCCAGGCCCTTCTGGCTTTCATAGTTTCTGTTGAAAAGTCTGGTGTGATTCTAATGGGTTTGCCATTATATGTTACTTGGCCTTTTTCCCTTGCAGCTTTTAGTATTTTTTCTTTGT